CTCTCTCCACCTGCTGGCCACGCTCCTTTTGAGTGGCCCAGGCTGCAGCTGGCTCTGTGGGCTGTGAGCACTGTTGGCTCATGTCCAGATTTCACCCAGCAGGATCCCCAAGTCCTTTCCCACAGGGCTGCTCTCTGTCACATCATCCCACAGCCTGGGCTGATCCCAGGGGTGACCAAGCTGCAGGGCCGGCTCTGCTGTGCTGAGGACTCCAGGCGAGGCCTCACCAGGGCAGAGCAGCAGGATCACCTCTCTCCACCTGCTGGCCACGCTCCTTTTGAGTGGCCCAGGCTGCAGCTGGCTCTGTGGGCTGTGAGCACTGTTGGCTCATGTCCAGATTTCACCCAGCAGGATCCCCAAGTCCTTTCCCACAGGGCTGCTCTCTGTCACATCATCCCCCAGCCTGGGCTGATCCCAGGGGTGACCCAGCTGCAGGGCCTCGCACGTGGCCTCCTTGGACCTCATGAGGCTCACATGGGCCAATTCTCCAGCTTGTCCATGTCCCTCTGGATGACATCCCATCCCTCTGGCACGTCAACTTCACCACTCAGCTCGGTGTTAGCTGCAAGCTTGCAGAGGGTGCACTCAATTCTTTTGTGGGGAACCTTGTCAAAGGCCTTGCAGAAGTCCAGCTAGATTACATCTGTAGCTCTCCCTCATCCACTGATGTAGTCACTCCATTGTAGAAGGCCACTAGGTTGGTCAGGCAGGACTTGCACATAGTAGAGGGGCCTGGGAGGAGGCCAGGCTACCTTATAAAGGACCTGTGGGGAGGCCAGGCTGCTGCTGGAGGGGATGTGTGTGAGAAGCTCTTCTGCTGACCATTTGCCCAATATGGAATGATACTATCACCAACAGGCAGACCAGCAGCCAAAATCCTCCCTCCACTCCCACAACCTGCACCAGAGATCCAAAGTTCCAGACAACCAGAGAGAGTTTGTGTATCACACATTCATGAACTCACCCAGCACAGTGGACATGAAGAAGGGAGCAAGCCAGGTGAGGAGCTAAGCTGTGGGAGATGGGAGCAGCCAGGCCATGAGCCCATTTATAGAGCAGGGACTCAGAGACAGCTTCACATTCCAGCCCTGTCACCTTGGAAACTCCACTTGCCATAAAGAGGGTCCCCATAGGCAGAACCCTCACACAGCACACACACTGTGCAGACAAACCTCCCAACCCCATGACAAGCAGAGTCAGCCCTTATAGAGGGGGTTTCTTGCCCCACCTCCAAGTTCATGTGGAAGGTGGGGGCACCTGGTGGTGGTCTCCTCATCTGTCCTCACTCAAGGCTGGCCAGAGCCTGGGTGAAAACCAGTCAGGAGGCTCTTTCTTGCCTGGTTGTGGGCATCATCTATATGGCCACTTTCATTCAGGCCTGGGGGTTTAACCCCAGTGCTTCAGAAGCCAAGTCCCTGCTATTTGGCACGGGGAGCCTGAAGTCTCTTCTGCCTGTGCTGTAGCAGGACCTGGAAGTGCCACTGGGGTGAGGCTGCCTGCTCAGTAGTGTCTGGGGCTCATCCAGCTGCAGCGGGGCTGCTGGCTCAGTCCATAGGTCCAGGCATCACTGTTCTTTCTAATCCCTGCCCTGCTGCCCACTGTCCTCAGGGAGCAGCAGCTGGAGCTGAGTCCAAGCCCCACTGGGAGCAGACTTCTCCCAGTCCCCAGAACGATGAGCACCCACATTGCTCAGGCCCACCTTGCAGATGTTGTAGTCAAGGAGTTGATGACCTTGAACAGGTAAAGCCCACTCTGTTGGATCTTGTCCTTCAGGCTCAAGGAGCCCATGTTATTAACATAGTCTGTAATTTACAATATTGCATCTGGAAATGCAGCCAGGAGTTCTCGTGTGAACTTCCACAGAGCTGTTTTCTTGTGATAATCTGTGTATTAGCTCATGGGGTTAAAAAGGGAGAGCTCCATTTGACTCTGCCCAAAGGCGGGGTGCCCAGCAGCTGAAGGGGCATAAGATTTGCTTGCTGTCTGTATTCCTCTTCCTATCCTGTCTTATTAAGGCATTTGTTGTCTCTCTGTCCCTGGAAACCTGGGAGGGAAGGCAGGAGTCGTGCAGCTGGTTAGTAGGGTTTGTAGGGGGGCCAGGCACTTCTACAGGGGTCTGGAAGGAAGCCATACCTCTCTGTAGGCACCTGTGAGGAAGCCAAACCTCACTACAGGAGCCCAGGAGGAAGCCAAGCTCCTCCACAGAGCCCTGGGAGGAGGCCAGAGACTTCTGCACCACTTAGAAGACAAGAAGGCAAGGGAAGATGCTGAAGATAAAAAGCCATTTCACCTCTCCTGGGGACAGAGACTTGCCTCCCATGTCTGGACGCTCCTCTTCCGAGCCAGGGTTTCCTTGGCTTGCAGTCTGTTCAGACAGGTAGTGTGTTCAGAAACAGCACCCCCACTTTGGGATTACTTTTGTGAATTTACTGAATGTGGAGGTCCAGCTTCAGCCTCATTGGGGACCTATGCATCCAGAAAACCCTAACACCATCTGTTGTGCTCAGCAGCTGAAAAATCCCAGTGAAGAAGCCAAGCAATGTACTGTAGAGAAGATGCTCCTCCAGGGGAAGCAGCCCCACGTGGTCTGCAGCCCAGGGCTAAGCACAAGTACTTGTTCTCATGCCAGCCATCCCTGGAGTGTTCTCCCCCACAGCTGTCTTAGTGCTGAGCAAGTACTGAGATAAAGGTTGAGCAAGGATATGTTCCTGTGGGCTTCCTTCCAGGAGAGACCACTCATATCACCCAAACATCCTCGGGTGCTTTGAAGGTGTACCAGCCCTGACAGGAAGTGGATGTGACAACGTTTAAAGAAAAGAATATATCCAGCACACAAGTCTGAAAACTGGTTTTTAAAATATGTATTTAAAGAACTAAGGCTACAGCAGGGTCCTTCAGAAGAATATTTGTACACTTGATCTTTCAGAAATAAACCAGGACGAGCGATTCCTTGACATGCACTTTGCAGAGCTCGTTAGGATGGAGCAGGACAGGTGTAAAGCTCACCATGATCTTCTCTGCAGAAGGAAATGCAGAAAACGCCCCAGGGACTGGTGGGCTTAGGGACACACTGAAGTCATGCAGACTCAACCTGACAAACATCATAGCACTAGCAACTCTTCTTTCTCCAAAGCTGAGTCACCTGGCACGAGGTTTAGAGGGCTGTGTGCTGGTCCCAGTGCCCTGTGTCCCTGCACAGTTTCGTGAGGCACTGAGGAGCTGTTCAGCTATGCTGCACACAGTGACTTCAGAGGGGCCAGCAGCCCTGAGGCATGGGAGTGTCTGAATCAAAGGCATAATCACAGACACAGGAATAAAAATGGCAGCAGCTTTGAGGAGACCTGCTCAGAAAACCAGTTTCATGGCTCCAGCTCAGTGTTGGTAGCTGAGGTTGTTTTCAGTGGTGCACAGTCAGAACAAGTCCAAAGTTTAGGGATTCTCAAAAAGTTAGTCAAATGGGGGTCTCCAGACCAGGGACAAGCTATACCATGGTCCTAAAAAAACCACAAGCCCCTCCTCAGAGAGACAGTCGGAATAGCTGACCAACTTCCTTCAGACCTTCAACAAGACTGAAGGGTGTGGGACTTCCCAGCACGCTTGTGGTGGCACAGCCTCTCACTAGGTAGCTGTGCTGGGGACTGCTGCACCAGGCAAGATGCAAACCAGCTTCCACTACTGATGCTTAGGCTGGGAGCACATCTACAGCTAAGCCAGACACGTGGTGGAACCACTGGTGCTCCTCTAAGTAGGCTCCCTGAGAGACATACCAAAATTAAACCTAAATTACAAGTTCAATCCCCATTACTGAAACATTACAAATTCAATCCCCATTACTGAAAAATTACAAGTTCAATCCCCATTAATCAAAGACTTCAGAAACAAGCAAAAGTGTAACCTGGGATCTGCAGAGGATACATATGTTCTGGACACAAGCCAGCGTGCCCAAAGCTTTGCACAGTCCTCCCCTTGGCATTTATGACTTCCTAGTTATCTGGAGAGTGGGAGGCTCCAGCATCTCTCAGAAGGCTGCACTTTGGAGGTACTGCAAATCAAAAGCTTCCTAGGACACAGATGGCCTGTGTCTGGGTCCATTGTTTGGATTTTTCTTCCCCAGAGTGTAAAGATGGGATATCCATCCAAGGAGTTTGCTGAGCAAAGGCATTGATTTTTAGTAGGCACTTTCTGAATGTACAAATAATTATCAGAGTCCTCCAATACTTTCTTAAAGCAGAGAAGCACTTCAGCTCTGCGTGGCTGGGAATAACTGGAAAAGCCACTTCTGCCACACTGGCCAGACCAACACTGTCTTCTGCCTGGAGAACCTACAGAACAGGATCAACAGCATCTAAACCACAGCTCCAGCTCAGACAAGTGATGGGAGGGCTGACAGGATCATCATTCCAGGTCAGTCACCCCAAAATACCATCCCTTAACCTGGGGCCTTTCTTCTCCATTGCCCCTCCTCAGTCTACTCCTATTAAATCCTTTCTTCATCAAATATGAGTACTTACTGTGGCTATTAGTGATTTATCAAACTGTAGCCATCAACTGTGGCATAATCAGGCTCTCCTGAAACACAGAGGAAAAAAAAAATACTAGGTCTGCTCATGAGAAGTGCTCATCACAAGTCTTTACACAGGACAGAAACACCACAGGCTGGCCACCCGTGCTAAAGGGATCAGAGGCAGGGGAGAATGAAGCTGGAAACAGAAGACTTGATTTGCCCAAGAGCCACAGTAGGGTTTTGTTTTACCAGGTCTTGCTGCAGTATCCCCCTACTGCAGTGGCACTGGGAATGATTGAGCTCAAGCTGTTGAAGCAGAGAAAGGCCCCATCTGCAGAGACTGGTGGGATCTCAAGCTTAGACATCCTCCAGCTTCAGAGGTGCCCTCATGCAGGGCTTTGATCAGACCTTCTCCTGGGTGAAACCTTGCCTCCAAAGTCACCACCCAAATTCCCAGCACCTTTCAGTGGGGACCAGACTTAGAGCAGGAGTTTCACCTAACACAGTTCCTCCAGAGAGCTAGAGCTCATCTGATGGGGAAGAGCAAAAGCAGAGAGTTCCTCTGTGGGGCCAGAAACCCCATGAAGCAAGTAACTCACCTGGGGCACTGGTTGGAGTGGGCAGAGGTCCCCTCCTGCACAGAAGGAAACACAGAGCTGAGAATCTGCATGGCTGTGGGGGTCCTGTTGCCCTAGCTCTGGGCACCCCAGCTGCCCTCTCAGAGCTGGTGGGAGGGGAATAGGCTTGGCCAGCCTGGGGTTTATGGAGACCTAGTGCCAGGGCATGTCATGGGTGTGTTCAGCACTGGCAGCCTGCTTGCCAAGCACAGGAACTGAAGCTGATACAGTGGAGGAGAGGAAAAGGTAACCAAAAATCACCAAGTTGGGGAAACACCCACAGGTGAGCCTCGGGGCATGCCTTTTTACATGCTTTTGACCAGAGTGAGACATCAGGAAGCCATAACTGGACATGACTCCTCTCCCATGTGACAGCCAAAGTGGCACACTCAGCTTTAGCAACAGTCTTTAGCCCTGAATCTTCATCTTCCCCCTGGCAGAAGCATCCTTCACCCTTGTCCTCTCTGCCCAGCTTCTGTCCTGGGGGCAGGAATTCAGCTCAGCTGTTCCTCCCTCTACCCACACGCAATTTTAACTGATGCATCTCTCCTTGGAGAACCATAGAGGGAAGCCCAGAAGGTTTAATTGTGGTACCAAAGGCTGCTCTAAAAGAGAGCTCACATAGTTGCCAAAGAGAGCAAGACACAAAATTCAGTATTCCCCAGGCTGACTTGTTTGCTGTGAGAGCACTCCAGCCCCTCACCTCCATGCAAAGAACTTCTGGAATGGGCTTGGTACAAGAAAAAATGAGCAGCCCCTCACCACAAGCACTTTCAGAATAAGATTCTTAAGCATGAGAAGGGAGAAATAACCACAAAATGGGAAGCAAAAACCTCTGACTGTCCTTGAGGGGGTCCTTGAACAGCTTATAGTCAGGAGCATATTGGCATGTTTGTTGCAAAAGCAACAAAATACACTTTTTTGGGGGGAGAGCATAATTTTCAATAGCAATAGCAACTGTACAGGTTAAGTTCCTTACCTTGATATAGGTACAGGAGCTGGACTTCTCACAGGAGTTGGATTTCTCTGTGTATTATAGTAGTTTTCATAAACAACAGGAGCTAGGAAAAATCAACAATAGTAAAGTACAGACCTTTTATAGCCATAAACTACTTGCCATACCAACATTCAGCACCTAAGTCTTTCCCTTCTCTGGGAAAATGCCTGATAGGAAATAAAAGTTACAGAAGGAGGAGATTATCTTCAGGGACAGGTGGTAAGTGGCAGAGACTCACACTGCACGACAGTGAATGAAAGCAGGGATGTTGCAATGTTTTTTTCATCCAGACTGATGCTGTTCAGAGCAGCACACATGAGGAGTACCAGGAAGTCAGCACTGCTTTGGAAGATTGTCCTGAGATCTTACCTGGAGCCAAACTTCCAGTTTTGCGTAAATTTACAAAAAAATCAATGTCCTTCTCAATGCTGCACATTTCTAAACTCTTGCGGATTTCCTCGTATTTCTGCAAAAGGGGAATAAAAAGCATTTCTATATTTAAGGTCAAAAAATAAGGGTTTTTTTTCCCAACTGTTTATCACACATGGAGTGAAAGCCCAGTGCCCACCTAGGACACAAGCTTCAATGGTGCGGGAATCATAGAACAGTTTGGGTTGGAAGAGATCTTTTAAAGCCATCTAGTCCAGCCCCCTGCAGGGAGCAGGGACATCTGCAGCTAGAGCAGGGTGCTCAGAGCCCAACGTGGCCTGGGATGGTTCCAGGGATGGGGCTTCTACCACCTCTCTGGGCAGCCTGGGCCAGGAGCTCAACACCCTCAAAAAACTTGGAAATCCCAGACAAAGCCTCACCTACAAGAACTCTAGCCAAAAACCGTCTGCCTGCACACTCATCCTGGTGTCTGATCAAAGGCCAGAGCCCAATTCAAACATAAAACAGCTCAGTGCACAGGAAAGCAGACTGGGCAGAAAAATTAATATTTTAATTTGATGTACCTCATCATTCTGGACGCAGTCCTGGGAGAGCTGGTTGACGTGCAGCCAGAGGGCATTGCGGAAGTAGTTGATCCTCTCACACTCCTGAGTCTCAAAGAACTGAAATGACACAGACAAAACAGCCCTAACATTGTTAAAACAAGAGCAAATCTCTTTCATCCTGACTTCTCCTCATCCCCCACTACAAAGATGACTCTCCTCAACAAGGAGCAGCAGGTGGTGGTGGTTTCCTGTAGGAAACATGGGCACAAGTCCTCTAGCTTGTCTGGAGGAGAAGTCATACCTCTGCACAACCAAGCATTTCAGAGGTGAATGTCAAGCTCAGAAAGATCTGCAGGACTGGTGTGGAGGTGGTCACCTGGCACACTGCTAGCTCTGGGCAGACCAAGCCAGCTTCCTAAAAAGCAATGCATGTTCCCCAGGTACCACACAGTCCTGCGGCCACATCTAACTTGGATCAAAGGTACAGAGCAATAAAAAAGCACTGGGGATGTATGAAAACAGAGGTGCATTGACTGGTTGGTCTTATCTCTCTTTCCTGACCACAGCTTTTCCAAGCACGTTTAAACCCAAGACTTTGTTGTCTGGTATTCCTCAGTTTCATGTGACTTTATGCCTTTCAGGGAAAGATAACTTTCATCCCAAGTGTACACATGCACTGGTTATCAGTTATGACCTTTGCAACACACCAAAGGGAAAACCTCCACGTGATCTGTCTGTGAAAGTGAAACTACTGCTTCCCATGCCCCGCCAGCAGAGAGGCTTCCAGAGACACGGAGAGCACACCAGCACTGAGGCACCAACACACACCACACAGAAGAGACAGCCAATTCCACTTCAAAAGGAAACTGTAAAACACAGGCCTGAGGAGAAGTAGCTTGGGAAGGGATTGGTGTGGCTGGGAATAGGAAGATTTTTGCAGACTTGCAGCAGACCTGGGATAAATCCTGGATCTCTGCAGTCCCTGTCCATCCCTCGGTCACAGATCACAGGGGGCTACAAGACACAGGTCAGCACCTGAGCAGCCACACAGTCCCCTCACCACCAGCTTTGGACTTCCCCAGCACATGACAGAAATCTTTACTAGACCACTTTGCCATGAGAAGGTCTGCTTGAGGCTGATACAACCACTCAGAGGGGCTCCCACTACCTGATCCATGAGATACAACGTGAAGAGCTCCTGGTTCTTGGGGATGGCTTCCCCCAGTCTGCATCCCCAGCCCACCACCAGAGTCTGCTGCAAAGCCATTTGAAGCCTTTCAGAGTTTGAGTCTGCTTGATGGTGTGGCACCTACAGCACATATTGTCCTCTAGGTGCCAGGTGTGCAGAGGAGACCATGACAATGACTGTTCAAGACAATGGCCTCACCGTGTGTGCAGATAATGGGCAAAAATGTCACAACCTAGTGGATTGACTGTGTCAGTTTTAAAAGGTGGTGGAAGGATAAAAGAAAATAAGAAAACGTAATAGAAACCTAGAAGTAGATGGACCTTGAGCCCAGAAGACAAGCATGAGACACAGGCTAGGTTAACTGCAACATGTCCTGCTGCTTCACTGCCAGGGGAATACAGAGAGGACAAATCTGTGCCAGCCCTGACCCCCACAGCAAGGGATGGGCATCCAGAAGACCATGTTGCCACAGGAAGGTGTGGAGAGCATCTACCTCACAAGCTTTGATGTGCTCTTTCTGCCATTCTTCCCGGATCTTCTCCAGTGTGGTAACATTCTGCTGGTAACTCCTGTCTGCAAGGGGAAATCACATTGTCATCTGATTCACATTAATTTTAAAAAGTCCTTTGCTAGAGGGTAATATGTGAGGCCCAAAATGGCTGGGACGTGAGGGAGGAAGCAGCAGTAATGTGTGAGCAAGCAAAGCAGGGGGTCGTGCCGTGGGAGCAG